TGGGGGGCAGAAGGGTGAAGTCTGGTCACAAGATCTGCAGTTGTCCTAATTTGTCAAAGGGGCCACTCAGAACTCAGGTATAGATGACCTGTGCTTGACTTGCCTTGGCTAGGTCTGGGGAGTAAGAGGGTGCAGTCTAGGCAGAAGATCTTCACTTGTCCTAATCCAAAAACCTCAGATTTCACGTTGATAGAGGGCTGTGAGAAGGATAAATATCTGAAACAAAACAAATGCCATGGAAGCCAAGAGCAGAATGTTTGAAAGAATACAGTTTTGCTAGTGGACCAAGTAGTCTGTGGAAGACAGAAATAAACAGTAGCTATTTCTTGTCAATGTTTTTCTTGTTTCTGTTTTTTCCTGAATCATTTATGGTTAGCTTATCTTTAAAGACAAAAGTAGGGGCTAGCAGGTGGCATGGTGGATAGGGGCGCTGGACTCCCACATGGCCAACTACGGTTTGAGTCTCAGACCTGGTGGCTTGCTTTCTCACTTCCTCTCTCTCTCTGCCTCTCTCTGATCAAACTGGAAAATAACAATGATAATAATAAATAAAGTTAAATAAAATAATTCTTTAAAAAAAAGACAAAAGTATATTTTATTGTCAGAAATACAAAATGATTTGAAAATTTAATTTGTGGGGGGACATAGATGAGATAAGATAACTCATTTGAAATCAAGAGTTTACCCTGAATGGGAACGAGCAGTTAGAGTAATGGCTATGTCGCTGGATTCCCATGTAGTCAACCGTGGTTCGCGTCCCGGACCCGGTGGCTTAGAACTCATGCCAGGCATATGTGTGTGCGTGCCCAAGATCCCGAGAGGAGAATGGAGAAGGGATTGCGGCATGACCATCCCCACTGGGGGGTGATTTCTCGCTTTCTGTCTCTGTCTGGCGAGCACATGCGCCCTATAGCGAAAACCTCTCAAAAAAAAAAAAAAAGTTTACCCTGAATTAACATGAGACTATTCATGATTCTTAGTCCACTTATTGTGAATATTCACACATTGTTGCTGCAGAAATATTGATGCTTGATTGTAAAATGCTGCCCAGACTCTAGGATGTTACATCATATATGACAGTTGTACCTTCACACAATCTGAAGAAGTCTAAAATTTAAAACACATTCCGTTCCAAGGACTTTAAATAGGAGATTTGTGGACCTTAATAGCTACTTCCATTTTTGATAACTTTTTGAAGAGCAAGCGATTTCTAAACTTTTGCAGATAAAAATAATTTTTTATGGTATTGGCAGTTTCTTTATATTGACAAAGTTCTGTGTTGAAGGAATCACTTGGATGTGCTTTTTCTGTATGTTTACTTCATTGGTACAGTATGTTTAAGTATTTTGATGAAAGTTAGGATAATACTAAAGTGCCCAAATTACATTACTGACCACTTAAATGAGATGACTGATAAACTTTCTTAAGTCTAGGCAGTGACATTTTATAAAAATGGATGGCTGTGGCCAGCAGATGACAGGACGGTTTCTGCCCTGGACTCCCATACGACCGGCTGTGATTCAAGTCCCAAACTGGTGGCGTGAAACTCAACACCAGGCATATGCGCTTGTGTGCCCAGGATCCTAGGAGGAGAATGGAGAGGGAATTGCAGAGTGGCCATCCGTGGGTGTGGTGGGCAGGGCACCTCGTTTTCCCTCTTGACTGTCTCTTTCATCTTGGAAGAATTCTTTTTTTTTTTTTTTTTTTTTAAGAGGTTTTTCACTGTAGGGTGTGTGCGCTCGCCAGACAGAGAGACAGAAAGCGAGAAATCACCCCCCAGAGGGGATGGTCACGCCGCAATCCCTTCTCCTCCATTCTCCTCTCGGGATCTTGGGCACGCACGCACACGCCCTATAGCGAAAACCTCTCCAAAAAAAAAAAAGAAAAAGGTTTGCATTCCAAATTACGTGCCTTTTTATTTATTTATTTTAGTTACCTTACCTTTGCTCTCTGTGTAGGTAGCTGTTACTAAAGAGCTTAGGCTTTGGGCTGACCTGCCTGGATTTGTATCTACCTCTGCTGCTTGTTAGCTGTGTGACTTTAGCAATATTACTTGGCCTGCCTGAGTCTCAACTTCTTCACTGCTATAAATGGAATGTAACAATACCTATAGCACAGTGTTGTTAGAAAGATAATACATAAGAAATGCTTAGAATTATGCCTTCTAGTACGTACTAGATATATATTAATTACTGCTGTCATTTTTTCTTTTAAAAACAGCTTGCAAGAAATTCCCACTGTAGTCTCCTTTTTAAATTTATTTAATTCATGGTAGCACATGTGTGTTCACAAGAGAGAAGTGAGAAACACACTATGAACAAGGTCTCATCATAGTGATTTCCCGTTTCCAGCCCTTCACCTTGTTAGGATCTTGGGTGCCCAACACGTCTTCTCATCCAAATCTAGGTTAGCCATGTGATTTCCAGCATTGCAGCTCAGTTTGCTACCAACTGTACCACCAGTCTGTTTTTGTTTTGTTTTGTCTTTAATGTTTACTTATTTATTTCTTTCATGAGTCAAAGAGACAGCACCCCTCAACAGGTTCTAGATACTGTGATCCATTCCCAGCTTAATGATGATGGATGATCATGGGCACATGTGCTCAGTGTACTCATGGAGGTCTGTATGCTCCAACCCAGAGCTTTCCATGTTCATCAGCCTCAGAGTAATTTTTTTACTCTATGCCACTCTCTTGCCCCTGTAGAATTTTTTTCTATAGATGGTCAGGGTCTGGGGTTTGCCATTGGATTCTCAGTGTGCCCGTTACTAGAGTATTTGATCTGAAGATGTTAAGAGACATTTCATCTTGGTAATTCTTAGACAGAGGCAGATGGAAGTTATGTAAGGAATTATGTGAAGACTGTATTTTCTTTCTCTTTTAATTTGCCATAGGGAGTTGCATGCTTGCTGGAAAGTGAGAAACCTCCCCTCCCCCATTCCCCATGACCACACTGCAATCTTTTCTCCAGTCTGCTCTTGGGATTTTGGAGACACATGTACACACACCTGGTATGTTTTTCAAGTTCCCAGATCTAAGACTTGAGCCACGCACTCGGCCATGTGAGATTCAACTGCCTTAACCACTCAAACCACTAGCTGGCCTCTAGACTGGATTTTCTTTAATTTTACTCTTAATCATCTCCAGTGGTAGTGAAGATATCTTAGAAACACCTTCTTGCTTTGATAACTCCATTGGGTTTTCCATATCTGAGAATTCAGTGAGACCAGGCTGGTTTCAAAGAACTGCTGGCGCGAAGGGCAGAGCTTTATGGTAGATCCTTTCTTAACAGGTAGTTTCCGATATTTATAGGCCTGATTGTGCTAGTGCAGGGGAAGTATACATGGCATCATATCCTTACTTTGGTATTTGTATCATTTCTTAGTTTTGTTTTTGGCTTGTGCATTCAGAAAAGTGGTTTTCCCTTTTAATGACCATGTGTATATGATTTTAAAAGAGAGCTTATGTTGAAAATGAAGTTAAGTAAATTAGAAGGATGATGCCAACAAAATCAAGTAGTCTGGGACCAGATGTTGGTGCGGTAGTGCAGCTCCACCCACATGGAACAAGGTTCGTGTCCTGGCCTCCCTGAGCCATATGGTGCATACATGTGTCCATGATCCAGGTGGACTGAGACTGGCGTTGGGTCATGGTATGAAGACCCTGTTGGAGGGTGTCTCTTTTTCATGGAAGAAATAAATTTAGGTACTTTTAAAATCAAGTTTGTCCTTTCATTATAAGCATGGGATTTATTAAAAGTAAATTTTCATCCTTTACTATTATCGAATATTTGGAAGACAGAATAGAAGTTTTTTGTTCTCAATTTCCATTGAACAAAGATGTGTTGTTTAGAAGATTTTGGAAGATTTATTGATCCTGGAGGTAGGCAGATGACATTCTTTATCCTACATTTATTATGTAAACATATGTTGGAGTCAACACTTTAGCCAGGAAAATCAGCTCATCTGTCATAACAGCATTTTGGAATAATTTTTTTAAATGCTAAAATCGTTACTAAAATAATTTATGACTTGATAAAGGTAGTCATAAAAAGTGCTTGATATTAGGAAAATAGTAATAAATATTTGAAAGACTTTCCTATTGTCTCTTTTTATTATAATAAACATTGGAACTTTACCAAGAAGTATTAGGTTTACTGAAACTTAGTTGGAAATCTGATTTTAGTGTCATTTGTTTATTCTTAAACTTATATGTAAGTTTTAAGACATTGAGATGTAACATGTTATTGTAAAAGATAGGCTATGAATTAAAACTTCTTACTAATAAAGAATGAGGCTATATATATTACACTGGAAAATGATATGTCTTGGAGCAAAATTTTATTTAAGACCTAAATTTCAGTTATTGAAATTTCTCTGGTAGACTGTGATACGAACAAGAACCTTTTACCCTTTATCGTATTAATTGTAAAGGATTTCTGAGGTTTTAGTAAAATGTCTTAAGAAGCAATATTTGCTGAAAAATCTTAAATCAAACCAATAAAACTTAGACTTTACCTTAAATATCTGAATTTGCCAAGGAATACTAAAAGCATTTTAAGGAGCCAAAAATTTTAAAAACTTGGAAATTAAAAATCTGAAAAGCTGCTTTCCATGAATAGCAAATAAACAATAATGAAATCATTTGCATGTAAAAGTTTAGTGTTTTGGTTTTCCAGTAAACTTTGAAAGTTTAAAAATCTCGGACCAGCTGATGGTATAATGGTTACATCGTTGTACTCCCATGTAATCGATCATGGTTTGAATCCTGGACCTGGTGACTTGAACTCAGGCTCCAAGAATGTGTGTGTGCATCCATGCCCAAAATTCCAAGAAGAGAATGGAGGAGAAGATTGTGGCATGGCCATCCCCCCTGGGGGGGGTGAGGGTTGATTTCTTGGTTTCTCTCTCTGTCTCTCTGGTGAGCATATGTGCTCTATAGCAAAAAATGTAGATGATGAAGAGTCTCTTGTCTGTATTTAGTTTGTGTCTTTTTATTTTAGGTGATATTGGAAATTATTATTATGGACAGGGTCATCCCATGAAACCTCACAGAATCCGCATGACCCATAACTTACTGTTAAACTATGGCTTATACAGAAAAATGGAAATATATGTGAGTATACCTTTGGGTGAATAGCTTGTTTTTGTTTTCTTTGTTTTTTCCTTTTTTAAATATTAATTTCAGACTTTGTTTATTTCTCATTGGAGGGCATCTAGCAGATGAAAAGGTCTGGAAAAAACCAGAAACCACTCTTTTTGTTACATTCTTCAAAGAAAATCGGGTGTGGAAATATTAACCCCTCTTTTCTATTAACTGTTGTGAAAATAGTTCCTAGTATTCTAGCCTTTCACATTTCTGGAGACTAACTTAGTTTCACAGATCAAATATTTTGTTAAAATAAGTGTTGACTAGCCCATGCTAGAAAAGAGTTGATGTGGAACTGTTAGAAAAGTATTATACAGGAATTTAATCCTATAATATTCATTCGACATTTATGTGGAATACAGTATTAATGGAATACAAATAACATTTAAAATAAATATTTTTGTAGCCAAAAAGTTGGGTGTTAATATAGACAATTACAAACGGCAATTCTTATCTATTTGAGTAGGATGACTTGAAGCAGTTAACAATGTTAGGTGATGTATTAGTTCATTGTTTTTTAGATATAGGCATTGAGAGAACAGAAAGAGGTGAATAAGATTCTCAGTCTGTGGAAACCTTGTGAAGGAAGTGAAATTGAGCTCTTCACAGCAAGGAAAGGTAGGATAGGAAAGAGAGGTCATCAACAAGACTAAAAATTCAGAATGAGTATCTTTCTGAGAGATCATTGAAGAAATCAGATACAGAGCATAAGGTTTATGATGTAAAATGAGAGAGTTTTATGAACATGGATTTAACTTCATGTGGGTTGATCTATTCACTGTAGTGTATGGAGTGATTATATCATAATAGCCTTTTAAAGGAATTTGAATTAGCTTTGGAATAATTATTTCCTAAAACATATATGTAAATTTGGATTATCTTTGGAGCGTGTCTGTTTCATTCTGGTGTATCTAGTTCTTTGAAGAGACCGTTAGAGGAACGTGTTTACAGCCATGTGCCGCAAAATGACATTTTTATTGATGAGAGACTGCATATTTGACAGTGGTCTCACAAGATTGTATATAATAGGCTATGCTGTGTGGCCTAGGTCTGCAGTAGGCTATATCATCTTATTATGTAAATTCACTTCATGCTATTTGCACAGTGAAGTCACCTAACCACATTTCTCAGGAGTTATCCTCCTCATTAAGTAATGCATGAGTATATTTTGTTTGATAATTCTGATATAACCACAATCATGACTTTTATTTTTCTTTGCAGAGGCCCCATAAAGCAACTGCTGAAGAAATGACAAAATACCACAGTGATGAGTATATCAAATTTCTACGGTCAATAAGACCAGATAACATGTCTGAGTATAGTAAGCAAATGCAAAGATGTACGTTTCTACATAAAAAGTATATTTTAGTACTGAAAAGTATAAATGAGTATGTTTAAAAGCTTATGATTACTTACCACCAAATCTGGGTAATTTTTTCCCTTTTTTTTTTGTTTTTGGTCATGGTGGTGATCTAAAATGTTATTACAGTGAATTCACTTGAAAAATAAAGATCGTAACACTAAAACTGCCTAAGGAAAAGAACAGACCTCTCTGTAGCTTATTGGTCTATAGACTTCTGGGTAGATGTTCCTCTTTTTATTTTGCTACTCTGGTAACTTTAGGATAATGGATATAGGTAAGGAGACATCACTCCTCCCTTGTTTCAAAAAGGAAAGAAAAAAGAACATTAGGGTACTTCAAAAAGTTTAGGGAAAATAAGAGTCTGGGTTTATTTTGATACAAAAAATTCTGAAATCTGTATGTAGTATGCATTTTCCACAAACTTTTTGAAGACTTTCTCATATAGTTTGACTAGTCTTCGTCTGGTGTATACATCTTGTCTTCTGTTTCTGTCCCTCGGTTAATCTGGTTTGCAGTACATATAATCTGTTTTTCCTTTTTGAGAAGGGTGTTAGTGGAACTTTGATTCTCTTGTGTGTTGTCTTTTATAGGTTAAAAATACTTTATTATTAGAAATTGGTAACCAGTTGACTTGAAGGTAGAAAGTAGAATGTAATTCTAAAGTGATTGAAACAGTATCTTAAATCTTGATACTGCGATTCATTCTTATCCCTGTTTTTATTGATAATACTACTAAATTAAGTGTAGTTACTAGAAATCTCACATATTCCTAGACCCTCATACACATTTCTACTGGAGATTACGTCATTTGATTGAATAAAACGATATCATGAGAATAGATATTTACCTATGCTTTTTTCCATGGGGATTCAGATTGAGAATAGAAAGAGGCATGAGTAGTCCTTGGGGTAGATACATTAATGGGACTGATTTATAAAGCTTTGAAATAATGGAGTTGTATTAAATACATTATGATCATATCTGAGCCATAGGAAACTAAAATTTATTCGTTATGGTGCTTGTAATTAAGGATGTGCAAAGCTTTATAAAATAATGACTTTTGTTCTTGAAAAAATTATAAAGTATGAGGAGAGATTGAGAATGGGTTTATACACATGTATATCCCCTTCATTCTTTTAGTATTAAAGAACTCAAATAGATCATGATGTGTCATATGTCTACATGTTTTATTTTCTTGTTGTCTAAAGTACTCTTCCTTCTGTGTGTTGGCGTCCATAAACTTAGTTCTTACTATCTTTCAAGATCTAGGTTAATAACCAGGGGCATAGGCAACCAGCTATTCTTAACTTGTTGGTACCCCCTAAATGCATTTCAAAATTATGAGTATTACATATGTTTAAGGAGGTTTAAAGAGTCATAAAGTAGTTGAAGTTACTTGCTTTTTAGAATATTGATTGTATATTTAATGAGAAATATTCAGAAACTTTAAGTCTGCATTTTAATTACATAAAGCAAATCCCTTCTGCTGTTCGTTAGCTGTAGATTTTTTATGACTAAGAGATTTTCTACAATAATAAGGTTAGGTGGTGGGGTTTCACAGATAATGCTTTGACTACCTTAGATAAAATAATAAATTATATTCAATTAAATTTTAGATTACGACTATAAAATGTATGTTTTGTAATTTAGTCAGTGTTAATGAGTTTTGTGAGAAAAAAGTAATTTGCAGAATGGGTTAAAACTAATGAAATCCTTCTTTAACAGTTAATGTTGGAGAAGATTGTCCAGTGTTTGATGGGCTCTTTGAGTTTTGTCAGCTCTCAACTGGTGGCTCAGTTGGTAGGTGTCCTAATTGAATCAGATTTAAAAGTTGCTCTAACCTTTGTCTGTATCTTTCGGATTATTTGTTGGAAGCGAAAATTTTAATGGTAGTGGGTTTTGTAACTCAAAAGTCAGTATGTTTTTAGTAGAGTATAGTTGTCTTTTAAAAACCCATGTTTTGTGGTCATAATGACTTGGACTTTATTTTTAAACTACTTGTATTTTCACTTAGGGACTTTTTACCTCTTCCCAACTAACTCTGTGCTATCATGACTTCTACTTTCCCTGTATATACTTATTTATGTCTGTGTGTATACATATACTCACACACACACACACACACACACACACACCCTTAGTTTTCAGGCCACAGCTATAAAAGGAAATCTTTGAGAAGCAAACTGCTGTGTCCTCAGATCCTTACCTTTCATAATTTTAAACCCTTTTGCTTGCACAGAGAATGCGCTTACCTATAGGGCTGTTGTCTCATTATACTAATATTTACAAGTATTTTTAAAAGTCTGCTAACCTGTTTTTACTTCTTAGCTGGGGCTGTCAAGTTGAACCGACAACAAACTGATATGGCTGTTAACTGGGCTGGAGGATTACATCACGCTAAGAAATCAGAGGCATCAGGGTTCTGTTATGTTAATGATATTGTGCTTGCCATCCTGGAATTACTGAAGTAAGTTACTTTGTGTTGATACTTTCCCCACAATGAAATATTCCAGCTAAAACACAATAGAAGCTCATGGCTTTTTTGTTTGTTTGTTTTCTCTCAAGTAAATGGTTGTTCGAAATAGTTAAGGGTACATCTCCTATGAATTCATTGCAAACTAATGTCAAAATACAGGAATTTTGCCCAATCTTTGGATTATTAAGAATTATAAATACACTTAAGTCTCTAAAATACTCATTAAATATCCTTTTACACAATAGTAGTTTGGCATTTAATTTTTTATATATTTTTTTATTGCTGGAAGGTACATGCACTTGCAAGAGAGACAGAAAGAAAGCACTGTTCAGTGGGATATGGCCATGCTGCAGTTCGTTTTCCTCCATTTCTCCAACCCATCAGGATTTGGGGCAGGCAAGCACTTCCACCTGGTGTGCTTTTTCAAACCTTCAGGGCCAGAATTCATACTGTGGTCAGCCATTTGGTCTTCAGCTCACTGTGCAGAGGGCTTGACCACTGTGCTAACAGGCCAGCCCAGTTTGACAATTTAGATTTGAATTATAGTTCCAGCTAATGAAAGGTGACATGACCTTGGAAGTTTATGTTATAATATTTGCTAAGTTTTAACATGAAAGCAAATATTTGAATTGTGTATTAAAGGAAATTTGTTTGCCTGTTGAATTTTGCTATTACCTATCTTCCATTTCTTATCCTTGACTGCAGTTTTAGACAGCTCTATAGACGTACTTAAGAATTTAGAGATTTATAAAATTAGATTAGTGTCCCCCATCATCAGTTGTAACACCTTTCAGCAGGTTCTACCAGATATATCGAATTAGTTTTCTCAGCTTTAAAAAGGTTCTTTCTTATATTTTACATACACTAACTATAAAGGCTGGGTTTTTAGTCACTTAAAACTTGGTTATTGACTCCTCAAATAAACAGTAACTGATTGTTCAGCCTCAATCCCTTCTCCATTCTCCCCTTAGGATCTTGGGCACGCACGCACATGCACCCGGTGTGAGTTTAAGCCACCGGGTCCAGGACTCCAACTGCAGTCAATTACATGGGAGTCCAGTGACATAGACATTGTGCCAACTGCTGGTCCCCAGAACAGGCAGAGAGTAAATACATTTCCTCACCTACATTGGTCACAGAGGGGAGGTTTAAAAATCTTAAGGTTCAAACTAATTTCAGATTTTAAAATGACCTCTTAGTTGGAAGTAAAGTTTCTAAGAAGGGGATTAAACATTCTGGAATGCAAGAACTCAAAAATAGGTGTCCTCAATTTGTGGTGGTTCTTCCTGTCTTAGGCTTTTTAAAAAAAAAAAAAAAAAATGCCTGGGAACCACCAGTTAGTGTAATGGCTATGTCGCTGGACTCCCATGTAGTCGACCGCGGTTCGTGTCCCGGACCCGGTGGCTTAAAACTCACGCCGGGCGCATGTGCATGCGTGCCCAAGATCCTGAGAGGAGAATGGAGGAGAAGGGATTGCGGCGTGACCATCCCCCCTGGGGGGTGATTTCTCACTTTCTGTCTCTATGTCTCTCTCTGTCTGTCTGGCGAGCACACGCGCCCTACAGTGAAAATCTCTCAAAAAAAAAAAATGCCTTAACTTATGGCTTTTTTTTTTTTTTTAGGTATCATCAGAGAGTCTTATATATTGATATAGATATCCATCATGGTGATGGTGTTGAAGAAGCTTTTTATACAACAGATCGTGTAATGACTGTATCATTCCATAAATATGGGGAGTACTTTCCTGGCACAGGAGACTTGAGGGTAAGACTGAATTCTCTCTGAATAAATATTATGAGATTAGCCGAGGAAGTTATTAATCCTATACTAGAACTAATATTTTTTTGAGTCATTGATTTGAAGCTTGTATGCAGGATCAACTTCTTTTATATGCTGCAACATCTGCTAGAATTTGCTTTTGCTGACTATAAGCAAAATTTTAATGACACTTTCCTTAAAGGACTTTCCTTTTGCTCGGCTGTTTTATTTGGTTGAATAGTTTTGAACATCCATGAAGTATGAAGCATTTCTCTTAATGCTCATTTTGAATCTTCAATACTACCTGATAGTAGCCCTCATTGCTATTGATTATAATGATTGGTAAAATAATATTAACTAGGTCTTATTCGATTTCTCTGCTGCCCTTTTAATTTTTTTAATAATTCTTCAATTTTGACCAGAGAGAAACAGAGAGAAAGGGAGGGTGAAAAAGCAAGCTGCCAGATCGGGGACTCAAACCATGGCCAGCCATGTAGGAGTCCAGTGCCTCAACCACCACACCACCTGCTGGCCCCCCTGCCCTTTTTATTATAATTTTTTTTAACCTTAAGCTTCTTAAATTTGAGAACCCTCTGGAAAAAGAAAGAATACCTATGGAAAGAGAAAGAATACCATAGCTGATCCGTTATATTTCTGTTACCTTTTCTGTTTGGTACTCTGTATTTAATGAATGTGAAAACAACTGCTTAAGTACTATTTCTATAAACTCATAGAGGTTTAATTTGTCTTCCCTAGAGTTTTTTTGAGGCAGACTACGTGAATGAAGATTGAAGTATATTGAGAAGTTTAAGCAGTTGTTGAACTAATAGTTCAGTCTGGATTATATGGGAGTTTACTCTTAGCATGGCAGTCATCATACACTCTTGAGTTGTCTGGAAAGTTGTCATGCATTTTTTGCATAGGAAAATACGTGATGACCTTCCTGACAACCTAATATTAAAGTTATTTTTCAAACCAAGTTTAGCATCAGAAATTTAGAAACTAGCTTTATTCTTCCAGTGTATGACTTTATTTGACCACAAGGTGGTGCTTTTTTGACAAAAGAGTTAATGGTGGTAAAAATCTTTCCATAGTCATAAATGGGTAGAAAGTCAAATGTTTAGTTTGAGTTCAAATTGTTTGGCTATTAAATTTTCAGGTATATAATTTTATTTGCTCACTAATTAGCTATTTCAACTTCTCCCTTTCCCTGCTTAATCATGTCAATAGACCAGTGGTTCTCATTGAATAGTTCCTTAACTAACAGGATTGGCATCACTTGGAAACTTGGTATACATTCTCAGGCTTGGAAACTCTGGGTGAATCTGCACATTAATCTTTGGAAACTACCCCTCTAAACCAATAGAATACACTTGTTTACAGCCATCTTGGTAGGAACCAAGCAAAAGCTTTCTTGGCTTTAAGTTTAAAGAATGTGATAGTTTCTCTGCAGTGTAATCCTAATTAATCTTAGAAGGGGGAAGATGAAAGCCTCTTTCAGTTTAACAGTAGATAGCTGTCACTAGAGTTTCTTTTTAGTGTTTCATAATTCTTGTTTGGAGTTGTTGGAGAGAATGTGCATATGAGATTTGAAAATGGCTGTCAACATTTGTTTTCCGCATTTAGAGCTTTATAATAATTGTTGGGTCAGCAGAGAAGTCATAACTTTTTACATTAAAAAAAGTCAGGACTTTACCAACAAGCCATTAAATGAAACATCATTCTGATGAATGACATTTGGATATTTTTAAACATCCCCAAAGTTTTATGAGGAAACTACGATCCATTATCTGTGTGGCTAGCTGTATTGGACTTTTTATGAAGCTCATGTGTAACTTTGGATAGTTTAGTAGAAACTTTTTGCCTCGTAATTTATTCTGAAGCAGAAATGATGGCTACAATGAACTTAGCTCGTTGTTTAGTTAGAGTAGCCTAAGCACAGGGAAATAGAACTGTAGAATAAGAAATGGAAGAGGTAGAACTTGGCCCAGCAAGGACAGTAGCTCTGAGTTGCCAGGCTTAAAGCTACAGTGAGAAGTGCAGATGGCCTTTCTAAATTCTGAATCTTAGGGTCAAGGTTTATTCCAGCTGTGTTTTAGGTGTGCAGGAATATAGGGGTTCAAAATACTTCCATTTATCTACATGTGTACAGTTTGCATTTAGCTTTATGTAATTTAGAATTTCTTTAAGAATAGCTATGAGAGGAGTTAAGGTCATTCTACTTGCTTTCTCTTCATTAGACTTTGGGTCATGCAACTCTGATGTTGAAGGTAAATGATGAAATGATTTTTTGTAAAGATGGGTTCAAACAAAGATTATTTCATGAGAAATTTAGGGAGAACTTGTACAACTGTACTTGGACAACTTGTTACAAGGACTTGTACAACTGTTAAAACTATTATATAGAAATATTTCTATTACATAACCTTTACTAGAAATATATACACAGTGATACATGTGCATACATACATACATAACATTTATAAATAAAATTAGGGTATATTATGTTTAAGTGTATTTCAGTGTGTGTGCATGAGCTCATATTACATACATCTCATATACATTTTCTGTTAATGATGAATTTTGTGGATTGATGTAATAATTTAATAAGTTCATGTTGCCTGTAACTGTTTTTGTTAAATTTACTCTTAAAAATAATCATTCTAGGTTAATTGAAAATGTTTCTTTTGGGCTTTATTAACAATCTCTAAATATTGGAATATGCATTTATTTCCTTCTATAAAATTACATGCTTGCTGTCCTAAGGTAATGTTCAAATTAGGTCTTAGTGTTTGTTCTCTTAATCTTTTCAAAGTATTATAATAAATCTGTTTATATATTTTAGGATATTGGTGCTGGGAAAGGCAAATACTATGCTGTCAATTTTCCAATGAGAGATGGTATAGATGATGAGTCATATGGGCAGATATTTAAGCCTGTAAGTATTTTTATTTTCTAAATTGGAATGGAATTTATTTATTTATTTTTTTTGAGAGGTTTTCACTACCGGGCGTGTGCGCTCGCCAGACAGACAGAGACAGACATAGAGACGGAAAGGGAGAAACCACCCCCCAGGGGGGATGGCCACGCCGCAGTCCCTTCTCCTCCATTCTCCTCTCAGGATCTTGGGCACGCACGCACACGCGTCCGGCGTGAGTTTTAAGCCACCAGGTCCGGGACACGAACCGCGGTCGACTACGTGGGAGTCCAGCGACATAGCCATTACGCTAACTGCTGGTTCCCAGAATTGGAATGGAATTTGGTGATATATTAGCAATATTGAAATTTGTTATCTTGTGCCTAGATTATCTCAAAAGTGATGGAGATGTATCAGCCTAGTGCTGTGGTATTACAGTGTGGAGCAGACTCATTATCTGGTGATAGACTGGGGTGCTTCAACCTAACTGTTAAAGGTAAGCAATTTAAAGGGGAATATTCCCAGGAAAATGGTTTTTCTCCTAACTAGGAATGTCCCATAGGAGTTCTCGTAGTTCTGGCTGCCCTTTTTTTTTTTTTCCCTCTTGAGAGAGATTTTTGCTATTGGATGCATGTGCTTGCCAGAGAGACAGAGGAAGAGACAAAAGCAAGAAATCGCCCTCCCAGGGGGGGTGGCCATACCATGATTCCTTTGCCTCCATTCTTCTCTTAGGCTCTTGGGCATGCACGCACACTCACCCAGTGTGAGTGAGCCACAGGGTCTGGGACTTGAATGGTGGTCAACTACATGGGAGTCCAGTGATATGACCTTTATGCCATCTGCTGGTCTCATTGTGTGCTTTTTTAACACTGAACTGTGTGCTTTGTAATTTTTGTCTGTTGTTTGTGTGTATAAATGACTACAGTTAATCTTGTTTTACTGAATTTGGTCTTTATTTTCTCAAGTTTATATATGCACTTATACAAGAAAAATTTTACGTTTTTGCAGTCCCAACTCTGGCAAATATTTTTAACATTTTAGTTGATTCTTTTGTTAGTAACCTTTGTTTAAGTAATATGCATACTTTGTTACTTAATTGGATTTTCAATTTTAGCTTATGTATTTATGTCCCATTATATAAGAAAGAGGTGTGTTCTTGTCATACACTCAGCCTACCTGTGTCTCCATTTTTACATACCAGATTTGTGGTTGTAGCATTCAGTGTTTACAGAAGTGGCAACATCTTTAAAATACATGGTTAGTTCTTCTATCTTTCCTTCCATAATTTGTTTCTCTTAAGTTTGTTTACTTAGTTTCCTTTTCACTCACTACTATACTGTGAGTGTCTGCATCTCTCCCTAAGTTCAGATACATCAAGTAGTTTGTCAGTTTTACTTCCTTAAGGAACAGTCATCTGAAATGTTCCTGGTTTGGAGGAGTATCCTGTTGAGTCCTGGCAGGATATGGAACTGTTTTTTGCTTCTCTATTTTATTGGATTTTCCTGGTGACCATGTCCTATGTCTTCCTCATTAATTTTTTTTCCTCAGATTTTGATGGAGCACATTTTCAAGAAGCTTTCTGAGAAAAGGTGTTTAGGAGATTAGGAATGCTTCTACCAAATACTTAAAATTTGATGGAGTATTGAAGTCAATATATGATTGAAACCTAGTCCACAAGCACAATATTCTTTTGCTGAAATGAACTCCTAGAATATAAGGATAGATCTAAAATTGTATTTAAGGTTTTAAAATAATACATAAATTAGAAATTATTTGGAAAATATATGATTTTGGAGTGTTTTCCTTTTTTTTTTCTTTTCTGTGCGAACTTGGAAGGTAACAAGTTATTATTCTCCTTCAAAATCTCTGGTAATGTGTACAGAATTCTCAAGTAGAACTTCTTCCAGAACAACATTGCTAAATAGGATTAAATAGGTAAATGCAGATATTAAAATCTCCTTTACTTAATGTTGTGATTGCTGCTCTAAAAGCCAGCATTACAATTAGGGTATAATCCCTTACTCCACTTTGTATTAGGTTAAGCCATACAAAATTGATTGTTCCTTTTCTTGGTAGGCCCATAGTTTTTGAATAGCAGCTGATTTACATTGCTGACCTTAATGTGTTGTTAATAGCCATCTGTTACTTCAAGATGAGTATGAGCTTCTTAAAATGATCTACCTAATGTGCTCTTAAAATATGTATTAGCTTTTGGTTTTTCTGTTTAACTACCTAAACGTCCATAGTATTTTTATAGTTTAAAAGTAATAGCTTTCATAATCATAAAATGTAGCATTTTACTCTTATAATAATAAATCTATATTCATATTCTATTTGAGTTGACTGATGGAATTTCAGTTGTATAAACCATATCAGGGCATTTGCAGTTCCAAGTCTTAATTCTGAATCTCTCCCCTGCTAGCTTCAATTCAGATTTCTCTGGTCCGCTAAAGTCAGCTACCTCTTGTCCATCGCCCTCTACCTTCATTTATGTTCTTGATGTTGGATTCTTTTCCATTCTTCAGTTTTATAGATTTTAGATTTTTTTCTTTTTAGGGTATTTTGCTATAGGGCTCATGTGCTCATCAGAGAGACAGAAAACAAGAAGTTCACCCCCTCCCAGGGGGGCAAAGGGCAAGGCCATGCCACACTTCCCTCTCCTCCATCCTCCTCTTGGGATCTTGGGCACGCACACACACGTGCCTGGCGTGAGTTTGAAACCACCTGGTCTGGGACTCGGACTGTTGTTGGCCATGTGGGAGTCCAGTAACATAACCATTACACCATCTGCTTGTTCCCAGATTTTAGATTTTTAAAAAATCCTTTTACAGTCATTTTTGTCAGGCTTTGAAAATAAGGTAAAACTTATCTTTGTTTAGCTAGCTATTTACTTTAAAATCTGTTAAGTTAAATTTTAGTCTACTTTTATCTTTAAAAATATGCAAAGCTGGGGCCAGCAGATGGCATGGTGGTTAAGAGCCCTGGACTACTACTTGGCTGACTGCAGTTCAAGTACTGGACCTGGCTGCTTGCTTTCTCAATTTCCTCCTCTTTCTCTTTTTTTCTCTCTTTCTCCCTCTCTGATCAATTTTAAATGAATGAATGAATAAAGTTAAATAAAATAGTTCTTTTTAAAAATATGCAAATGATTTTTATCTATTATAAAAGAAACCTATGCTTTCCTAACAGTAGTAAAATAGGGGTTGTGAAAGCACCCTCTGACAATTAAAAAAGAAGAAAAAAGTACTTTCTAGGCTGGCCCTATAGCCTTGTGATTAAGGGAATTAGATCCTTCATGGATGACTGCATTTCAAATCATGGCCCCAGTGGCTTGAAAAACACTGAGAGTGTGTGCCTTCACATGTGTGCCCAGAATCCCAACAGAATGGGAAATACGAGGAGATACTGCAGCGGGAACATGCCCCATTGGGCAGTGTTTTCTTACTATGCATCTGTCTCTGGTGAGCTCACACACACTGGCTATTAAAACAAAATGGGACTGTGAATGCAGACATTGGATGTGTAATGTAGACGTTCACAGTAGGCAGTTACGTGGTGAGAACAGCTCGTTTTTAAAAGTTAATTCAGAATTGGGCTGTAAGAAACAATGAGATTCTATCGTTTGACTCAAAATGTTTGAATGTGGAAGACTTACATGTTGAGTGAAGTGAGCCTGACTTTGAAAGATCCATGTTGTATATTCCCACTCTGCCTGTACTGAGTGCTACAGCGGAAAGGTTGAGACTTGAACATGTGATAGTGGAGAGGATGGGTGTAAATGCTCGAGACTGGGTGGGTATGAGGTTAAAAAAATAAAATAAACAAAGTGAATTCTGAATTGGAAGGGAATATTTATAAAACTGTCTTTGGAAAATAGGATTTCAGGTGGTTAGTTTTTTCTTTTCTTTTTTTTATTTATTTTTTTATTTTATTTTATATTTTGGAGAGGTTTTCACTATAGGGCACGTGTGCTCGCCAGCAAGTCAGAGAGAAAGCGAGAAATCACCCCCCACCCCCGGGGGAATGGCCATGCCACAGTCCCTTTTCCTCCATTCTCCTCTCAGGATCTTGGGCACGCACGCACACGCACCCGGCATGAATTTAAGCCACTGGGTCCAGGACTCGAACTACATAGGAGTCCAGCTACATAGCCACATAGTCCAGCTACATTAACTACTGGCCCCCAGTTAGTTTTTTTTTTGTTTTTTTTTTTTTTTTTTAATTCTTTTCCTCCAGCTATTCCTTGAAATTTTTTCTTTCCCTCCTCCCCTCCCTTCTCTCCCTCCTTTGCTAGAGGGTGTGTATACTCAACAGAGAGGGAGAGGAAAAAGCAGCCCCATGGGAAATAGTCATGCCACAATCCCTTCTCCATCTCTCCTTCCTTTTGGGATTCATGGCATGCATGTACATATGCCTGGTGTGTTTCTTAAGCTGCTGGGTCAGGAACTTGATCTGTGTGGTTGGCCTTATGGATCTGGCTGCCTTAACTGTCAGGCCATGGTAACTGCCCCTCCCCCCCACCTGTTTTTTTAAGATTGAGTTATATACCTGCTGATATTGGTAACTTATAAATGATTATTGAGTTATGTTTGTTCAGAAGAAATACTTGTTTTTATATTTTCAAATCTCAACATAGAAATTGAAGGGCTTTTATTTCCCCTCTTTTTATTAAATTGCCACGGAGGATGGTCACACCACAATCTCCTCTATTTCTCCTTTTTTTCAGGATTTTGGGCATACATGTATATACACCTGCCATGTTTTTCAAGCCTCCAAGGCCACGATTTGAACCACAGCCCAGCCATATGGGATCCAAGTCCCTTAACCAGTGGACTATAATGGAAGCCCATTGAAGTATTTTTAATAGTAATAGGTGTTAATTTAAAAACCTTTGATAAGAAAAATACTCATACTATTACTACCTAAATGTAACCCATTGTTAAACTTTGTCATACCCTCTATAATTATTCTATACGTGTCTAAAGGGAAAATTGTAAAAATCAGTTTGGATTATGTGTAATATTTTATTGTAACCTGGTTTCTTTTCCATATAACCTCACTTGACTATTTTCCCATGTTAATAAGAATGTATTCATATTTTAATTTTAATATACTTTATATTTGACTTTTCTATCAGGGACACTTGCTAAAATAACCAGGTATAGCTTATTAAGTGTATTACTGTATGAAAAGTATGTGATGTATGGAGTTTTAAATTAAACGCTTCTTTTTATTTTCTGTTTTAAAATACTTAGGAAACCCATGTTGGTTGAGTAAAATTTTTTTGTATTATCTTTCTAAAATTTATTTTTCAGACTTAAACATGTGTAGGTTTTGTTGTTAACCCAGATTATCTTTGTCTTTAGGTCATGCTAAATGTGTAGAAGTTGTCAAAACTTTTAACTTACCATTACTGATGCTTGGAGGAGGTGGATACACAATTCGTAATGTGGCTCGATGTTGGACATATGAGACTGCGGTTGCCCTCGACTGTGAGATTCCTAATGGTAAGTGAGTTCATGATATTTTTATTGTGTGAGTTGTCGGTGTATAAAGATAGATGTATGAAGGATTAGAGTAATTCCAAAACTATACAGATAAAAGAGCACTCCACGTTCACTTTTTAAACATTCTCTTTAGCATGCTTCTGAATTCTCTGTGTAAACTTATATGAAAACTAAGCTTTTAATATGTAATTTTTATTGTTTTTATCTTATTGTTTTCATTGTTTTTAATAGAGTTGCCATATAATGATTACTTTGAGTATTTTGGACCAGACTTCAAACTACATATTAGTCCTTCAAACATGACAAACCAGAACACTCCAGAATATATGGAAAAGATAAAGTAAGAAATCACTGAATTGTTTTGATAAACATTCATCCTGACAGAGCTTTTCCGAGGCTTTAGAGGGACACGTGCAGTGGGTCCTTTTAGCTTTATATGTCAAATATTTCCTTTGTGATTTTAAAAGGATTTGCAAGCTCGAAATCTCAAGTTATTTTTTTAAATTTCCTTAATTTCTTCAGTTAATGGAAGTACTCAAAAACATTTTCATTTTCCTTAAATGTATTTTTTAATTGGAAGGGGATATATAGTCTTTATTGTTTTATGTTCAAGTGAAATTTTATTTTCATTATCTAAAACATTTTATTAAAACTTCATCTTTATAAACCGAGCCTTTAGAGAGACATCATACTTTAGCATGGATTTATGTCATCTGCTATAAACTAGCTCCGTGACATTTGACAAGTTCATTTACTTATGTGCTTATGTTTCCTCAGTATTGCCATATTGGATAAAACAGTACTTACCTTTTATAAATTGAAATGATTCATTGAAATGATATAGGTAAAACAATCTGTTCAGTAAATATTTTTGTTAAATTCATTGGTTAAGCTAGATAACAGGTGTAAATTTTTGTCTCGTGTCTCCTCTTACATGTAAGTGGAACTTCAGAGAAACTGAATTTTGTCTTCACTCTGTATTTGCTATTTAGACAGCGATTATTTGAAAATTTGCGCATGTTGCCTCATGCCCCTGGTGTCCAGATGCAAGCTATTCCAGAAGATGCTGTTCACGAAGACAGTGGAGATGAAGATGGAGAAGATCCAGACAAGAGAATTTCTAGTAAGACAATGCCATGGTGTTTACTCTGTTAAATTTTTCTAGTTTATTCACAGGACACTTCAAATTGAAGATTGTTGTAGTGGCTGAGAACTTAACTGTAGATTGTTTCATGAGCATGCTATTATTGTCATTGTTTTTCACATTTTTAGCCTGATATAGATTGAGCTTCTTGAGGCCTCAAAGCCTGATTTAAGTGTCTGCAGTTCCAGTTGTGTAAATTGAGAATAATTTGTAAAAATCCTGTATATCCAAAATGGGATGAGTTTGACTGACATTAAGCACTTTCTGTTCAATTTTATGATTTCTTATTGTACTTAATATAATTGTTGGATTTATAGCATAGCAGTATATCTAAATGGTATAGGCATTCTAACATAATTGGTATTGATATTTTTTACCTTTTCAGCCTCCCCTCCCAGCTCTGAAATGAAGGACTGTTTCTTATTTCCATACTCTATTAGAAAAAACACAATTCTTCCTACAAAGTTTTGCGTTTAAAAAAATGAGATCTCCAAATGATTGTTTCTTTGAACCGTTTTCTTCCTAGATCAAAGCTAAATATTTATCATTAAGCAAACCACATTTTAGTTCAAATCTCAGATCATTAAGTACCTGTTAATCCTATGCTTTTACATGTGATAAACTTTTTTTTTTTTTTGAGAGATTTTTGCTGAAGGCATGTGCACTCACTGGAAACACAGACAGCAAGAGTGAGAAATCACCCTCCAGAAGGGATGGCCACACTGCAATCCCTTCTCCATTCTCCTCAGGATTTTGTGCATGCATGTGCACGCACACACACCCTGCCTGAGTCGTGGTCAACCACGTGGGTGTTGAGCACCATGACCACTACACCACCCACTGGCCCTGTGATATACTTTTAAATGTGACAACTGTTCATCGCATTTGTATGAGTGTGCAGTGATGCTTACAAAATTCCTGACTGTTTTTGTCAAGATTTATTAAAATTTCTTATCAGTTCGAGCATCAGACAAGCGGATAGCTTGTGATGAAGAATTCTCAGATTCTGAGGATGAAGGAGAAGGAGGTCGTAGAAATGTGGCCGATCATAAGAAAGGGGCAAAGAAAGCTAGAATTGAAGAAGACAAGAAGGAAACAGAGGACAAAAAAGCAGGTCAGATTTATTTTTTGGTAAATGTGTTCAATTGTAAGGTTTTAAAATTGTATGCTACATTGCAATTTTTATGAGATCCTGAAGTCAGTAACCTAAACCTAAATTATTATTTGTTGTTAAGATAAAGGAAACCTGGGACCAGCCTCGTGGCCTGTTGGTTTTTTTCTTCAAGTTAGAGTTAGGGATCCATAGCACAACCTGATGCACCTAGTTCTGTTGTTTAGCTTGTGGATTCACTCAGTAGGTTCCGCTTTTCTGTCTGTCCTTAATTACATCATTTTCACATTCTTAATGCAGTGGCAGCCTTGGTCTTGCTGTTGTGTACTGAGTAATATCCATAAATTCCTACCATGACTGAGGCAGCGGATTTGACATTTGAGATTTTTTTTAGTTGTTTTCTCTCCCTCTCACCCTGTGGCTTGTCTATCCTTTTTTGGTATTCTAAATTTTGTTGTTTTGGTTTTTCATTTTGTTTTGTTTTTGTAAGTTTTTGCCTTAGGGCATGTGCACTTGTTGAGGAGAGAGAGTCAGAGAGAAAGTGAGAAATCACCCTCCATGGAGGATGGCTATGTCACAATCCTTTCTCCGTATTCCCCTTGGAATTTTGGGCACACATGTGCACATACCTGGCATGATTTTTGAGCCACCGGGTCTGGGACTTGAACCACAATTGGCCCTCTGGTCGTCCAACAACATACCACTAGGCCATCTGCTGGTCCCATGTGTTCAGTCTTGTTTTTTCTTTTTGTTTTTATCCCCCCCCCCCAGGGGAAGTCTCTACATTAGGGACATAGGAGTCTTGCAGTGTTTTTGTTGTTTTTCATTGCCAGAGGTCACATGCTGGTTGGAGGTGGGGAGAAAGAGAAAGCACTCCCAGTGGGGTGTGGTCATGCCTCAGCTCCCTACTCCACAGCTTCATCCTGACAGGACCCTTAGCAGGCATGCACTTGTGCTTGTCCTGTTTCTAAAGCCACCAGGACTGGGACTTGAATTGTAGTTGTCTATATGGGATTCAGCTCCCAGTGCTCAGTGTTCACCCATTGTGCTGTGGGACCAGCACCGTGCCACTGTTAAAAATCCCTCAGCCTACAGGAGAAAGAAATATTACCATAGAAAAGCTTTTAAAAATCTAGTTCAAACTCTAATGTTGAGACCATTCTCTTTCTTCTCTTCCCATCTTGTTCTGGCACTTTGAATTAGGTTTATATAACCAAAATAAAGCCAAAAGTTAAAATAAATTTCATAAAATGTGTAGTGTCAACACCTATTCGTATTAGGTCAAACCAGTCTCCTAAAATGTTTTTATAGAATACCCAAAATAGTGACATTTTTCTGTATTTTTATTGGACTATTGCCTCAAAACTTTAGTTTTCTTATTTAAAGAAAAATTTAGCACATTTGGGATAATTTATTTTCTCAATTCTGAATTTGCAGTGTCATTGCTGTTTTGTTAAAATCATAATCTTTCAGTGGCTAGGGTTAATAACAGTTGGGTTTAGCTTCTGCTTGTGTTTCTGGCTTTCTGTCTCTTTCACCTTCTCACAATTGGTCTTTCAGTTCTTTCTTCCGTCTTGCCAGTTCCTTCTTGCCTCAGAGTCCTTTTAAGTTTTTCGGTGTCTGAGATACTTCTTTTTTCCTCACTCTAAATCTATTCATTCTTTCAGACACTCCTTTAATTTTGTTTCTTCGTGGTGGCCTTTCCTGACCTTCCACAGTGCTGTGCTCTTATGTATATTCTTAACTTCCTCACAGCACCTGTCCCAACTGTGTGCTGTGAACCCACAGAACCAAAAGTTTAAAAATACCTTATTAGGTTGACAGTATGAATCTTTATCATTAAGCAGTTATTGAATGCATGAACAGTAAGATTATATATGACCACTTTTACATTTTATAAGTAAATATGTTATAAAATAAAATTTGTACACTTTATATTGAAATAGGTTTTAATCTTCTTAATTTTTGTTTTCAGATGTTAAGGAAGAAGATAAATCCAAGGACAATAGTGGTGAAAAAACAGATACCAAAGGGTAAATTATTATTATTTTTTTTTATTTTGGAGAGGTTTTCGCTATAGGGCGCATGCACTTGCCAGACAGACAGAGAGAGAAAGAGAGACAGAAAACGAGAAATCACCCTCCAGGGAGGATGGTCACGCCACAATCCCTTCTCCTCCATTCTCCTCTCGGGATCTTGGGCACGCACGCACATGCGCCTAGTGTGAGTTTTAAGCCACCGGGGCCGGGAGGCGAACCGCGGTCGACTATGTGGGAGTCCAGCGACATAGCCATCACGCAAACTGCTGGTTCCCAAATTATATTCTTTATCCAGTGAATTTTATATACTATAAAAATAATAAACACATTTGGAGAAGGGGCATTTATATATATGTGTGTGTGTGTCTGTATGTATGTACACACATATATATATATACTCGAGAAATAATGGATTGACGATGAAAGCATCAATAAACTGAGATGCTCTGGAGTTTAGTCTATTGTTACATAAGACAGTGTATGACATCTTAAACTTAGTTTATACATTATCTCTTCAGCTGTTCATGTGTTACTGAAATAGCTTGCTGTGAAAAACTGCAAACACTAGTATTAGTACTGTAATTAAATATAAATCAGGTTTTATTCTTGTACTAATTTATATGAAATTCTTGTTTGCTGTTATCTTGGATACGTAGTCTTCTGGTCTCCTGTGGTGGTCTTATTTCTATGTATTGATTTGTTTAGTGTGTTGGAAGATAAGTAAATTTGTAACATAGTTTTTAAGTAAAACCATTGAGGACTTTATTGTCAGGAGCAAATAAACGTTTGGCCACACATGATTTTCTCCTAGCCTTTGCAGGGTAACTTGGACTAGATTGTCAAACACCTGGAAGATTAAGGCCTCTTACTCCAGTAAACGCTTACCGCCATCATGTCAACTAGCAGGTTCCTGGGCATGTGCCTGCAGCGCCTGGTCAGCAGGATGGGTCAGTGCATGTAAGCCGTCATCTCTGCCATGTTTAATATTCCATGTTGCCTTTCTTAACAGAGCCAAGTCAGAACAGCTCAGCAACCCCTGAACTTGAAAGTCTCACCAGTTTCAGGAAACCATAAAGAAAAGTCAGAAAATACTGGAGGACAAATGTTTTCATTTTGAAGACTCCTGGCTTCATTTTATACTGTTTTGGCATGGACTGTATTTATTTTCAAAGTGGCTTTTTTGTTTTTGTTTTTCTTGGCAAGTTTTATTGTGAGTTTTTCTAATTATGAAGCAAAATTTCTTTTCTCCACCATGCTTTATGTGATAGTATTTAAAATTGATGTGAGTTATTATGTCAAAAAAACTGATCTATTAAAGAAGTAATTGGCCTTTCTGAGCTGATTTTTCCATCTTTTGTAATTATCTTTATTAAAAAATTGTACTTGGATTATCTTGTCTGTTCATTACTGTGTAAAGTCTTATTTCAGAGGCTAGTGGCGTGATTGTTTCTGTAGCTTTAGAATATTCACAGGTAAAAAGATAGTGATTATAGTTTGAAAGACAATAATTCACTGTTCCTAAGGAAACAGTTTATAGCGATTATTATTTCCTAGTGTAGTAGAAATTCTACCACTTCGCTCTCTGTATCTTAACTAGGCAGTATCAGTGAAGGTGGACATCTCATGATTTTTCTCTGAAATTTATAATAAAAGCTCCACAGTTGAGTTATAGAAACCATCTTTGTATCTAACCAAAGATTCTCAAATATCAGAAGTAAACATTCTAAGTTGAAATGAATTCATAAGCAGAAAAGGAACCTAGCCTCGATGGTAGGCTACATGTGAGTCTTTCGGTACCCGTGTGTCTCTCAAGTAGACGGAGTTCTGTGATACTCAGTGACCAGACTTGTCTGTATTGTTGATTTAAAATGAAACCGGGTATTCAGGCAAAACTGGCCCTGTCTTTTTTTAAAATGCATTTACATGGCATCCCGGTTCTACTCCTACGTCTAGGCTTCCAAATAAAGTAAATAAACACTTAAATGTAATTTATTATTGAACAACAGTTTATTATCCTACCCATTTTAAGACTTGAGGAATGCAACTGAAAATAATGAGAAGGTGCATTCAACCACGGCTTACCTTCTGGTGGTAGGGCACAGACAGATGGGCCTAGGCTTTGGTAATGCACAGCTGTGTGCCCACCCGGATCCATATGTGCTGTAAGTATTTTTTTTTTAATTATACAGAAATCAAAACTTTATAAACTTTGCCATTTATAATTCCCTTCCCCCCATTCAGAAGTAATCACTAAGCTGAAGTTCGTGGCTATCTTACTCATGTTTTCACCCTTTTGCTACATATTGGTTAGTGATCTATACAACTATGCCATTGTAAAAAGGGAGAAACTTAGTTCCTTCATTTGAAGAATATTGAAATGTATTTAGTGTTTTGAAGCATGCATGCTATTACACATACACTTCTGTAGCTTGCTTTTTAATTTCATTCAACATTGAGGTCTGTTACTTTCTTGTTCCATTATATGTGAGCATTGACTACATTTATCCACATCAGTAGTGCAGTGAGTCTCTTTGGGTACATTTCTTTACTTTTTTTTTTTTCAGTTGCCAGAGGATATGTGTGCTGGCCAGAGAGATAAAGACAGGAAGAAAGACCTCAATGTATAGGACAGGATGTGTGTATGTATGAATAAAACATTGTTGGAAATTGAGGAAAAAGAAAACACTCTCCACGGGACCAGCAGGTGGCGTGGTGGTTGAGGCGCTGGACACTCCCACATGGCTGACCAGGTTCGAGTCCTGAATCTGGTGGCTTGCTTTCTCACTTCCTTTCTCTCTCACTCTCACCATCTGTCTCTCTCTGGTCAAATTAAATAAATCAATGAATAAATAGAAATTAATAATTATTAAAAAAAAGAAAACTCTCCAGTGTGTGTGGGGGAGGGTAATCATACCACAGTCATCCCGTTTCTCTGTCCTGTCTCAGCTTTAGGCATGCACATTACATTGGTAGGTTTTCGGGCTGCTGAGGCCGGGATTTAAACCATAGTTGGCCACATGGAATCTGGGCCCCTTAAGCACTGGGCTATGTGGCTGGCCCTTGTTTTTCTACTTAACAGTAAAAGCATTGTCTAAAACTAAAGCTTCAGGAGAACTAGTTGAAACAAGCAGTTTCGACCAAATGATTCTGTACAGTGTTAGCATAGAAAAACCAGCTTATTCAGCCAACACAAGATCTGTTGGAAGAATGAAGACATTTAAAATACATTTCTAGATAGAATGTTCTGGTGTATAATGAATAAGATCAACTTAGAAGGATGTCCAGATAGATACCCTAATACATTTAGAGAAATTAATAGACGATAAACTTTGTATTTGAAATTGACATGGAGTGATGACTAATGTTTAGAAAGTGGATAGCCAAAATTAAAAACAACAAAAAACAAGAGTCTTGTGCCTTTTAGCAGAAGTGTAAGAATTAAATCAGAGGGGCGAGCAGGTGGCATAGTGGCTACGGTGCTGGACTCCCACATGGCTGAGTGTGGTTCAAGTCCCAGATACAGCAGTTTGAAACAGACCAGATGTATACACGTGCATGCCCCAAACCCCATGAAAATGAAGGTGGGATTACAGTGTGACCATCCTCTGGGGAATGATTCTTTTTTTCACTTTCCCCCCACTGTCTCTCCAGAGCATGCATACCCTATGTCAAAAACGTATAAAAAAATTAAATTGGAAAAGAAAAATGAAACCACAACTTAAAAACCATGAGAATTGTGTAAAAAGCAGACGGAGTGCAAGAAGGCCTGTGGGTGACACTGAATTCAAACTGAAAGAAGTAATGTATTTGACAGCAAAACCAGTTGTGTAGGCCAACAAATTTAGAAGCCAGGTCAGGACAAATGACAGGGAGGTGTGAGAGGCAGAGTTTAAACTTCCCACAATTCAAATTGTGTAAAAGATGTGAACTGGGGGAAAACCACAAGTTCTTTAATGTGAAAATATCTTCAATCTTACAAATTACAAGCTGCAGAGATAATGTAAGTTTTTAAACCTATCATGTAGATTCAAAAATCAAGTGTTGGCATGAATTTTAGGGAACTCCAGGGTTTAGTAGTCAGTATAGCCTCTTGAGCTTAATTTGACATTCTATCCCAATCACTAATCTGATTCCCAGAATTCAAATGCGAGAGATTTATACTGTACTTTATATGTAAATTGGCTTTCAGAAGCCTTTGTGCTGCATTTTTAAGATTAGAGCCTAAGGGGCTGGCAGGTGGCATGGTGGTTAAGGGCACTGGAACCCCACATGACCAACCACAGTTCAATTCCCAGACCTGGTGGCTTGCTTTCTCACTTGCTCTCTCCCTCTATGCCTCTCTGGTCAAATTAGATAAGTAAAGTTAAATACAATAATTCTTTAAGAAATTAAAAGATTAGAACCTAAGTATTCAATAGGGAACTAGATAAATGATCATTGAAAGAGTGCAGTGCAGCCATTGCAAGTATGAAGTAATGGAAAGATCAAGACTCACCATGAGATGAAAAGGAAGTTGCAGGAACGTGAAATACAGCTACCTTTTGAGAAAAAAAGTATAGAAAATTATTTGAATATGTAAAAGATTTTATTGAGATACTTCTAAAACCAGTACCATTTGGAGCATTGGCAGCTTTCATGGAGATTTGAATGCCAGACTGGATATTACACCTTTGCACAGATTTTCACTTTATTAAGAAATGGAAGCACATAATTTCTGGTCAAAGGGATAGAAGGGTTTGTTTTGTTTTTGTTTTGGAGAGATTTTTTTTGCTATAGGGTGTGTGCACTCGCCAGACAGAGACCTAGAGACAGGAAGTGCTGTCTCTAGGTTCCCAAAGGGATAGTTTTATGCGATCTTACAACTCCCTTTTTCTTGGTTCAAATTATCCCTCAAAATGACTTGTAGAGGGAACCAGCAGTTAGCATAATGGCTATGTCGCTGGACTCCCATGTCGTCAACTGCGGTTTG